TCAAACGTTCAGCATTTACCACAACCAAGGACCATGCCGTTTGCTCTTTCCACTTCCTGAAGATGGATGCGCTGCCTGCTGGAGACTCTCCTATCTCTCGTAACATCTTCTGAAGCCAGGTGAGACGACGAGTAGCGGAGATTAGCGAACGAAATAATGTCGTATGTTTTGAAATTTTGCTGCTCAGGAGAGCTAGAGATAGCATGATATGAACTTAGTCCATGTGAACTCAATCAGGCCATGAACTAACCCTTGAACAAATGCTTTCCTTGCAGACGTGCATGTGTCTATCCAATCTACACGTAGAGATCATACCATGCCCTCAGTGAATGGCCTATTTATATATTATTTGTCCAAACACTTCATCTGCATGTTGTCTCTATGGAGAAGGGTATTGTTCATTTCATATGAAGAAGTTCGGGCAATAGATGCTTTCCTCTGGTACAATGCTGTTGACCTGATGAGGGTCAAACACTGCACCGTTCTTTCTTGTGACATGACGTAAGTTATTGTAAGCGCTCGCAGACTCCATACATTCCAGCAAAACCTAGCATGGTTTTCCGTCAACGTTGTGGGTGAACAAATTCCTGTCCAACATATTTATACAGACATGCCAGCACACACCATGCGCCATACACAAACTTGCCCTGCCCTGTCGAGTCACAGCCACGTGGGCCCGGAGGGGCAGTGGAGAGAGAATGGGAGAACGCCGCCCCATGGCGCCCTGGACACAAAAACATGAGCTTGTCCGGCTACGTAGGGAGCAACATACATACATATACATACACCACACACACACACACACACACACACACACACACACACACACACACACACACACACACACATACACGAAAAATGAGAGTTCGGGTCATCTGCCACGAGACTGACGTAAGGCCGGGGAGAGCTTCAGCAGCGGTGTCTATTCCTGCCCTGGACCGAACGGAAGCAGCGGTCGCGGGACATATAGTATTCACCACAACACGGCTCCACTGTCGTTGGGGGCTGAGCCACACACTTGTGACGGGCAAGAACGCCACAGCTAAGAAAGCAACGGCCACAGCGATCACACTGGCATTCTCCACGCTGCTCCTGCACACACACTCTCTCTCTCTCTCACACACACACTCACACTCACACACACACACACACACACACACACACACACACACACACACACACACACACACACACACACGTGCGCACATACTGCAAGAAAGAAAGAGAGCATGAGTGCCAGATTCTTGCATAGGAAGCGTTTATCAGCACACACTTATACATGCACATGCAGGCACTCAACCGCCAACTATGCACCATGCCGCATGTTCGTCAAACATAATATTGCAATACCAAAGAACAACATAAACAAGATCACTTACTTCGTTCTCCTCCAAGTGTGTCCTCCCCAGCCATTTCCCTAGGCGGAATGTAGCCTACGAAATGGTTTCTCTAGACTAGGAGAAGATGCTGGTATTCGCCATCTCTCCTGAGAAATTTTCAGCAAAAATTTCAAAACATACGACATTATTTCGTTCGTTAATCTCCGCTACTCGACGTCTCACCTGACTTCAGAAGATGTTACGAGAGATAGGAGAGTCTCCAGCAGGCAGCGCATCCATCTTCAGGAAGTGGAAAGAGCAAACGGCATGGTCCTTGGTTGAGGTAAATGCTTAACGTTTGATTTGTCCCAACCAAGATTTCAGCACTTGGTTCGTCACTATTTTCGCTTGCCAGCTAACGTCTCCGCACTCCAGCTTTCCCCTGTCGGTGTCACGTCTCAGTACACAACGGAGAGGACTACTAATAAACAGTTCACGGCACTAACAGCATTGAACACAGTACTTCTTTCACTTCGTGACTACAAGAAGACAACTGAAAATGACACAATTCTGCAGTGATCGACCTTTTCTCTCAAGGAGCTAAGCAGAATTTGCGTCATCACCTGTAGTCGCCATGGAAACGGGATCAGGAAATCGGCGATATGGCAAGTTTCCCTCGCCGTACGCAAGCGAGAGATATACCATCGGAACCGATATCCAATTGTCTTTCATCTGAGCCCTACTTGAAAAATCGATGCACTTCCCCTTTAATTATATAGATAGAATTGTTGACACACTAATTGGTTGGAATGTTCATGTACTTACTTGATTCAGTGCCTTATCGCCATCCGCAACAACTCCGCTACGATCAGCTTTGTGAAACTTACTCTCGCTGACCGGTTGTACTGTCACCCTGTCGCCTGGTGCAAGCACCCCCTGACAGACACCGATTCACCTCCGTAATCTATTAATACTATTCTACATCCTTTCACTTCAGCGGATTATGTGAGTTTCTTTTCGATCTGAATTCAAATATTCTGGCTTTTCTTTTCGTTGCACCTGCACACCGCACTACACGCGGACTTTGGCGGTCGCCATAATTATTTTTTTATCTCTATGGCAACATTGATTCCTTAATTTTTTTGTACGCCGCATTTTCTCTCTACGCCACGTCTACGTTTTGTGCATGCATGCGGCGCATGCCAAATACACGCCGGCTGTTTGTTGTGTTCAGGACAGCGATTTGACGATCGTTGTTCCCAGTGTCCTTTTGTGTTCTTGTTGAAACGAGTGGTAATGTCGCTGTAACGGAGTTTCTCGGTGTTTTGTGGTCTGCTCATCGATGGTCAGTTGCGGGACCACGTATGTCCGCAACAATGATTCTTTATTCCACTCCAAACTGAAAATAAAGAAATAACGGGAGGCATTTACTTTTTTTATTTTTTTTACTAAGGCCACACCTTCCAATCATGACATGCAAAGCAGTGGTGCAGCATCGCAGTTTCTCACCGGACTTATCATAGCCAAATGTAAGCAGCACGGAATGGGGAAAGGGTAAGGTAGAGAGAGAGAGAGAGGGAGGGATAAAGTGGCATGTACCATCTGTTATAATACTCACAAAAGGGACACACACCCCGCCCCCTAGGTAGGTCGTCAAAGCCTTCTTAGTTAAGTCCAGTGGTTGTCTCTATTAAAACAAACAATAGGAGGACTGAGAAAGTGTTTTTACTCCGGGTTTCACGCACGACTAAGCGATCATCAGAAAACAGTAATAAGAAATCTGGATCAGTATTGGTTTATATACTCAAAAAGCAAAGTGAAAGGGGACAACCACTGGAGCCGGTTGTCTCTTACTTAAATAGGTGATGGCTGTGGATGGTTTAAAGTTCCGAAGGTAGTACCTATTCTCATGGCGACACTTTGACACAAGCTCACTCCTTTTGTTGGGAGAGAGGTGCTTGGGTGCTTGCGCGATTGGCAAGTTTTGCCAAGTTTTCTGCCAGGCACAGGTTGCACCTTTTGCTTTTGTTGCTGTTGGCCGCTGCTGTGCGGTGTACCGCCCATTGAATGCTGTATGCCTTCCCTTCATCCTTTTTGGTCCAGGCGTACTGCGATAGGCGGGTGTCCTTCTCGTGTTGTCTGTGGCGCAATGAGGATTGGTGGTTATAATAGCGTTGTTTGAATGTTGTCGCTGTTAATCCAGTATACTCCTTCTTCTCCATACCTCGCGTTATACACGATGATCTCCGTTAGACACGCTCCGTCTAGTTGACATGAGTCTTTCACACGACAGTTACAAGTCCTCGTGTCGTTGCCACCTCCGTTAGCTTCTTTCTTGGGTCGTAGAATCGTGTTTTTTGGTGATAGTGGCCATATTCTGCATGCAACTGTAGCTAACCTTTACAGAGTTCTGGTTTAAGTTTTTGTTAAGGCTTGAGCCTTTGGGGAAGTGGTTGGCCGCTAGGTGGAGGAAGCGATTACTAACGTCGGTGGCGACGTTCTTGCTAAATGGTGGGTTGAACTATATGATGTTCCCGGGGCGATTCCTTTTCTTATTCTTTTTGTTAGTGCGTGAAACTCGGAGTAAAAACACTTTCTCTGTTCTCCTTTTATTTCAACCAGCTCTACCACTCCGTATTGAGCACTCTCTTGGACAGCCTGGAATCTCTCTGTTTTATAACTTTTGTTATTATCAATAACTGTCTGTGCATTCCCGCAAGACGTCATGTAGAAGCACGACCACTACGTGTCTAAGTATGCACTGTACTACAATCACGTGTCCAGTAGCTGTTCTGTGCTTTGCACGCAAGACAAGTGATATTAATTAATTATTTTATCAGCGCTTAACACAAGCATCTGCATGCCGCACTCACACAACGAGCAACAAGTTTGGGGAATAGGAGGGGTTGTCAATTGCTTTGCCAGGCTCCGAGGGAGTGACAGCTTAGAGCTGTGTGAATGTGTGTGTATGGCAGCTGAGCAGGGCTCTGCTGCGGAGGCTGAGTGAGCCGTATTGAGAGGCTGAGTGAGCCGTCTGAGTGTGAGAGGCTGAATGAGCCGTATGAGGAGCCTGGTAAGCAAGGTTGACTCCCCTCCATGTATTTACAGAGTTTCGCCGGTAGACAGCATCGGTGTAGTTATAGCAGGCCGGTATGATAATGGATACCGACAGGAGGGAACTAGAACAGGAAACATGATGATGACAATAGTGGAGTGGGTGGGTGGGTTGAGAAAGAAATCCACTGCCAATGCAGACAAAGCAAGAACTGAAGTCAGGAACAGTGGACTTCGGAGAACAATGAGCGCGTGAGAGTTTGTTGGGAACAGAGCATGCGCCTTCTGTGTTAACATATTTTTGCGCGTTCGCAAAAAATAATATAATCGTCACTGCGGAAACAGCAAACTGGAAAAAGCCAACTGTTAGGGACAAGTGGGATTCTGCTGGATCACTTAGACTGTATAATGAGCTATTTTGTTTGACCCCCGAGCTCTGGGGATAAAGGGTCATGATCATAATTATTATGATACAACTCCTACTGAGATAGGTAGCTAATCATACGCGTAGGGCACTCACGTGTGTGCCCTTCCTTGCTTACTACGGGAACTCACTATAACTACTACTATGTGTAAGGTATAAGTCAGTGCTTTCAAGCATGCAAAGAGTCAGTAGAGTCTCGTCAAGCCTGAAAAACTGAAGAGAGTAGTTTTCTCCACCGCGTAAAGCGTTGTACCTTCAGCATGCCCGATATAGTAAGTTATGTTTTCATACTCCTAGGGGTTATTCCTATTCCTGTTGTTGAAAACGATTACAAATGTTCCCAAGAAGAATTGTCGCAAGAGACATCGGTCACTAATATATCGACCTCTGAGTATGGAACTGAACTGAAGATCTGCAAAGCAATGGAGCAAGAGTCAGTCGAGCCTGTACTGAACAGTGTTCTTTTGGACGTGTGGGAAGCAGCAGTATTACCTTTGTTGTCTCTAGCTGACATCTTTCAACTTTGTGGTGTTACGAGACACGTCCGTGACCTGCTGCATAATGAAACCATATTCAGGCGTCTATGTCAGGTGAGTGTTATGTGATGTTTATTTGCCAAAACTTGGTTCATTATATGTATAGTGCTCTAAGTAGATCGAAAAGACGCTCCTCTTCGTGTCAGTCGTTCTCCTATTGCACTAGCTGTTTCATACCATGTATTGTTAGAGTGGGAATTTCGGCTGACAGGTCTCGTTGTAATTTTTATAGTTATTAATGTTTAAGGATTCCCCAAAGGCCTTTCCCTATCGAGTAGGTTTCTTAACGTTCCATAATGCCGATTTTGTAAAAGAAGTGAGCAATAGGTGAACAAAGAAAGAGAAAAAGACATAGTCTGGGGCAGAGCTCTGCGCATATGATTGTAAGCGTGCAGAATTGGGATAATACATTTAAATAATGAAAATGTACCAGAGATAGGCTGCTAAAGAATTTGATGTGCCGCTACATAATCAACGGAATTCCACTGCAGTGAAACCAATGCTCATAGAACTGTTTGTGCAGTTCTTGCTTAAATTCGCTTAAACAGGCCAAGGTCATCTTAGGGGCAGACATATCCAGAGGTTGCTGTGTTTATGGATAAAGATATTTCAACACCGCTAGTCATGGTTTGTGAATATCAGCTTACTTTGAAACTCATCGCTCACGGGAACTTCTGACTACATTGTATTATGGAAGATTGTTCGCATCCTAGTAGTGAAGCGTATGAAGATGTAAAAGAATGTGAGCTGACCGGTGCTACATGTATTTTCCTCGGCCGGTCTGGCTGAACTGTAAACTTCTCATCTTATGTTTACAGTACACACTGTACCAATACAAGTAAAGTTTACAAAATAAATCTGTAAACTGCCTTTTACCCTATGTGCCTGTTCATCATCAAAGTGTGTTGTCGTTGTTTTCCCATGCATGTAGAATCGCTACCAGATCAGTCCAAATTTGAAACTGTCGTACATCACAGTTGCTAAGCACCTATACATCGCCACGAGAGTATCCAGCATACATAAACGCGTATCTGATTCTGGCAATGCCTGTGTTGTGCATAGTGATGATCCTCATGATCCACACCAGGTGTTCAACCAAAGAAATTCAATGTTCGTGCAATTGTGCAGCCTGGCATTGATGCCGACTACAGGACCGGCCCAAACCATTATGCGGTACAGCCTTCCGCTATCTAAGCCTTTGATCAGTTTGCTTGTTCTGCCATCCAAAGACACATCTTTGTACCTACCCAACCTTTCATTTTCAATGATTGAGAAACATTGTAGAGTATGGCAACAACAGGTGTGGTACAGCTTAGAAGACTCGGCGAATTTGTTGTTGGAAATGTGCGGCTCCTACGAAGAGTACCAAACATGTATCCTGAAAAGAATGGAACAGGATATTCCGGAGACTGCATCATTCTTGAAATATTCGAATCGCTCTTGCAGGCAAGTTGAGCTTGCAAAATGCTTGGAAATCGTTTCAAGAAGCGATCCACAATTGCTCTTATCCCTAAGATGTGATAGTCTGATACGAGAACCTCCTCCACACATTAATACTCGGTGGAGCTACAACTCATGCGACTTTATAATAGTCGAGAACGCTGACAGTGGCCTCAGCGATGACGTTATCGCCACTCATAATTGGATCAACGTCACGGGGGAGCTAGCATTGCGTCACTCAGTACTCAAGCTCTTTATCAAAGGAAGCCTACGTTTATCACAGTTGGAGGATTACTTCGTGGCTGTCATGGCATACGACAAGCTCTGGCAAAGCCTGCCCCAGTCTAGTCGCCCAAGTCGGATTGTTCTCTATCGTGACCTGGGAAGCTACCTACTTTCCACGCTACCAAGGTCGCAGCGTGAAAAGGAACTGAGCAAAGAGGAACTGCTGAACGCCATGGAACGGTGTGGCAAGATGATTGTTGACAATGCAACCCACGAAGTGCGTTGCCGCGCGCGTATATCTTGCTGTATCCTGATGTAGTAGTGGTTGTTGTAAGTTTGCCATCGTGGGGAATTTGGCCTATGACGCAATACCACCACATGTACTTGTTAAGTCTGCACTGGGCTCTTCAGCCTTTTTGCCGATTGGATTTTGCTTCATCACTCTGTTTTCCTCAGTTTTTCAAAGAAAATATTACTGTACTCCAAGTGGATTGTTTGGTTTACATAACGTGTGACACACGTTGGGTTCCAGTTTCCAAAACAATGATGAACTGTAAGGGGTATTTCACGATTGACTGTAAAACCAGGCATGGCGACAAGACCATAGTGGACACATAATAGGGTGTTCGCCAACGGCCCTCAACGCTAGTTCAGCACATGCATGAATGACACTGACTCGCGCTGCTTTCTGATGTTCACGAGGTGTTTGTGGCGCTGGAAACGCAACGTCTGTGTTGTGTTCGGGCCTGGAGAGCACTATGTAAGTTGTGGTCTTCAGGCACAGTGTTCCTCAGCCTACTCAAGCACAAGGGACGAGGAATGAATTCCACGATAAACTTTGTGTTGAGCAGGCAGTGGTGCTATCTTGCAGGTTTGCCGATTGGATGGTTCGTTTGGACTTGTCGTGTGTTCTGGGTGGCTGTCGTGAGTCAGGCAAGTGACAATTTAAGTTTGGAGGAAAAGCGCGAGCTTCCATGTAGATAGCAAAATACAATTCCCCATAATTATTACTAATATAAGCGCCCAAGTGGTTAATCACAGCATCGGGCGTAATTCTCCCCTGGACGTACATTTGGGCCTCGCATGGAGAGCCAAGGATACGTTTATAGAAAAGAAGAAGGACCAAGGAACTACAAGTTACTAGCACGCTTTAATGTCCACTAACACCACGGCCAAAGTTATGGCATGAGATGATCGTTAGTAACTGGTGGTGTAGGTGGACATTATAGCGTAACTTGTAGTTCCTTGGTCCTTTTTCCTTTCTGTGACTTATATCACTGAAGTACGAAATAGTTGTTTCACAAGATAACCACAAACCATCATGGTGCAAGCGCCTTTGGCGTATATTTGTTTGGAAAGGGTTTGTTCCCACACTGGAGAACGCGTTCGCACATTGTCCAAATTAATAATGATAATACAGTCTGTAAATACAAATTGACAACTTACGCTAGCTGAGCCTAGGAACCAGCGGATACTGCCGGGATTATAATTATTCCGTTATCAGTATTATGAAACTATCCGAGCACCAGAGCATTTTATAGCATTAATTTAAAAAGGCAAAAACGAACATTTGTGAGATTTGAGCTGCATTTGGACAATAACGCTCATGAGGTACTGTAAAACCGGAACGTCTAACGACCAAAATGTATAACGTTTTTGTAATTTTGGCATGATTGCGTGCAGAAAGTTTAACGATGGCTACCTGGCCACCAATCTCTATGCGCATCTTTACACAGACATCTAGCGATAACGGGTTTTTTTAAATACTGAAAAATAATCGGTCTTTAAAACGCTAGACTTTGTGACTCGTTAGACTTTCCGGTTTTACAGTACATGTAACTGTAGGTGTATCCCTCCTCGTGTTCTACGGATCGCTTTGTGCCGGAACGAAAAAAACGTTTTAGCACCTGACGCAAAAATGACTATGTTGTCTGAGTCAATGTACGAGTACGTGTGTTCACCCCAAAGTTATTGCAAAAATTGGAAACAAACATTTACGAGGAGGAATATAATTTCTAATACATAGAGAGCCGTCGAGGAGACGCGATGCCAATATCAGACAGTCGAAGAGGAGTTTCTCGTTGTACCTTAGGCTCTGACAATAGCGTCTCTGGGCCAGCAGAGATACTGAAGAAGACGCCGCAACTTTGATAAATTTGAACCAGACTGAAACAGCAGCTACAAGCAGAAAGAGATGAGCAATTTACAACATTGCCTGTCTGAGTTTCCCGACAAAACACGAACAATTACTTGTAGTAGTAGTAGTAAATGTGGACAGCTGAACACCCAAGACAGCAGTCAAGTGCTATCAACAAAAAGAGTGCCAGTATTCTTCAGTTGTCAATGTGGACAACTACTGTGATCACGTAATACCACAAGGGGAAGAAAACTGCAAAAGTAAAGAAAGTAGAGCAGCAACATGAATATTGCGCCCAATTTTCGTCCACTCTTCAGGGATCTCGATTGGAGATCAGCTTCATGTCCGCTGTTTCAGATGAAGATATCAATCCCAGAAACAACACAGTGACAGCTTGTTTGCAGGACAGCCGCCATGATAAGCATCATCCCAATGATTTCCTAACATATTATTTTCATACCTCTCACTCCACGAATATTGTCAGGAAAGGATTTGATATACATGTGCCCAGTGTTCAGCCATGGCCCTGCGTCCAAGCTTCAATGGGGAGCAGCGACTGGAGAATCGATGAAATCTGATAGTGCCAAAAGGTCGCGGAGCTGGTGGACAATATTCCTGCAGATTCAGGAGAAGATTGATTATGTGCAACCATTCTTCCTTTTTGACCCAAACCAAGAGCAATATCCCTATAAGGTGGTTTTTGGAGCATTACGGTCAGCATTATACGAACGTTTTCGGAGCATTATCTGCTGGACCCTAACTGGGCCTTCTCGCACGCCGTCATGTACATGTACGCTTCACATGATGTAGTACAAGCACACATCCAGTAGCACCTCTGTGCTCTGCACGTAAAATAAAGGATATAAATTTTACGCCCACATAATTATAATCTACAAGTATTCATTTCAGAAAAAGCAAACTGGTGAGAGCCCACTATTTGTTACGAGCGGGCCTCTGCTGGACCACCAACTAGTAGTGATAGTTAGATGTGGGTAACCATGGTCACGGCGAAGTGTCTCCGCACTTCTACTGTCAAGAGTCCAAAAACAACAAATAACTCCAAAGCAAGAAAAAGGCACAAAAACTAAACCAAGAGCATGTGCAATAACATGTTATTTAGAAAGACAGGACAAGTGAATAATTAGTCAGTCCATTGTTCATGATGGTCCCCGACGGTTACGTCAGCAAGCGAGCCTCCGCCACTGCCAAAGCAGCGTGGGCTCCGCAGGAGGGTGCACATTTCAGTAGTGGACTTTAGGCTGAGCTGTTTTTTCAGTGAGGTCAGGGGATAAGGGTTCTTGACGATGTGATACAACTCCTTCTGAGAAATGTAGCTAGTCATAAGCGTGGCGCCCCCACGTTTGTGCCCTTCCTTGCTTACTATGGGAACTCACTGTCACTAGTATTACGTGTAAGGTAGAAGTCAGTGCTTTCAAGCATGCAAAGTGTTAGTTGACGCTCTGCAAATCAGCTGAAGAGACTAGTTTTCTCTACCGCTGAAAGCCTTTTACCTGCAGCACGCCCGATATCGTAAGTTATATTTGAATGCTCCTAGGGCGTGTTCTTCTCACTGCTGTGGAAGACGATTACAGATATGCGCCAGACGAACTGTCGCAAGAGGCATCAGTCATTGATATATCGGCCCCTGTGTATGGAACTAAACTGAAGATCTGCAAAGCAATGGAGCAAGAGTCAGTCGAGCCAGTACTAAACAGTGTTCTCTTTGACGTGTGGGAAGCAGCAGTATTACCTTTGTTGTCACTTGCTGACATCAGCTATGCGGTGTAACGAGGCACGTCCGGGATCAGTTACGTGATGAAAACACGTTCAGGCGTTTATGTCAAGTGAATAATATGTGATGCTTCTTTGCCGAAACTTGGTTTATTACATGTACTTGTATTTTTTGATTTTGTGACAAACTACTATGGAATCATAATCATGACCGTCAACTGCCTATCGACATTACTGATTTGCAAACGCAACCAGAACATCGTTGTGAAAATGTGTGACTTCTGAACAATGCAATACCATGCTAGCACCACCCATCAACTAAGCATTCTTTTATAAACTTCTGTCTCTTCTCCGCTTATGCCGGTTCGATGTTATGTTGTATTCTGTTTCGTCTCTTGGATGCAGAATCGCCATCAGATTAGTCCTTACTTGACGCTTTCGTATATCCCAGTAGCCAAGCACCTCTGCATCGCCACCAGAACATTGAGCATACATCAACCCATACATGGGCTTGCCAATCACTGCATTCGACAGCGATGATCCTCATCATCAAGACAAGGTGGGAAAACAAAGAACAGATTTGTTTGTACAATAGCGCAGCCTGGCGTAGATACCGCCTAAAAAATTGGCCTACACCATTTTGCGATACAGGCTTGTAATTTCTGAGCCTTTGATCAAAATCCTTTTCCGGTTTCCGTCAAAAGACATTTGCTCCTTCCTACCGAAACTTTCACCTGCATTGCTCGAGGATAACTGTGAAGCAGAAGAAATGGGGATGTACAAATTAGCAGACGTGACCAGTTTGTTGTTGGAGATTTGCGGCTCCCATGAAAAATACCAAACATGTATCCTGAAAAAAATGGAACAGGATATTCCCTACGCTAACCGTTCCTGCGAGCTAGTCAATCTTTCAATCTGCCTTGAAAGCATTGTAGGAAGGGATTCAAGATAACTCTCATCAGTGGTATTTGAGGTTGTGATAGCAACACTTCTTCAAAACGTTACTACTCGATGGACCTATATCCCATGCGAATTTCTATTAATCAAGAGTGATAAGGATTACCCACTCGGCATTGACGTCATAGCCACTCAGAATTGCATCGACTTCAAGGGAAAGCTGGCGGAATGTCACCCAGTACTCAAGCTCCTGATCAAGGGAATACTACTTTGATCGCATTTGGAGGATTACTTCGTGGCTGTCATGGAGTACGACGAGCTCTGGAACTCTCTGCCTCCGTCTAGTCGCCCCAGTCCGGATGTTCTCTATCGTGTTCTAGGAAGGTACCTACTTTCCACATTACCAACATCACAGTGTGAAAAGGAACTGAGAAAGGAGGAATTGCTGACCGCAATGATGCAGTCTGGCAAGAAGACTGCAGACAGTACAACCCGCAAAGTGTGTGACAGTGGGATCCGCGAAGTATGTGGCAGTGGGCGTGAGTCTTGTTGTGTGCTGTTGTAGTTGTGGTTGTTGTCGTTTGGCCGTTGTGGGCACTCTGGCCTGTGAAGCAAGCCACAATAAGTTAATTCTGGCCATTATTGGCTTTTCGCCTTTTTGCCAATTGGAGTTATCTTGATGTTTCCTTTTTTCTCAGGTTTTCAAAGTACAAAGTACTGTATGTTTGTTTCTTGTCTCGCTCTATTATCTAACCCGAGAGACAGCAAAATTTAATGTTTCTAAAAAAAAAGGATGCACTGCAAATCTATCTCGCAATCGACTGAACAT